CCCTATTTCAAAGCCAGGAAAAGTAAGTTCTTAACTCATATCAAACTGCATTGTGCTGGATAGGGCCAATGATACTCAGCATCCATTTCCACTACCTTCAAGTATTTACAGCCTACAGAAGATGGAAAGTTAAAAACTATATTGCCCAAATCCCCTTGCAGTTATGCTTCTAGATGTGAATTAGACTCCACCAATGGGATGCACTTATGTAAGACTTGAAAGGTACAGATTTTGTGGTCATTCTTCTTTGGATATATCTGTTGCAAGCACCATTGTAAAGATGGGGAGGTTCTCTGTTGTTGTGTTCCAGTCTCCAGTCTCTAGTTTGTGGCAGTTATGGTCAAAGATTTCTGATCCCTTGATTACAGCAATGGTATCATGTTCTTTTTTGTTTTTTTGTGTGTGTGTGTGTTGTGTGTGTGTGAGGAAGATTAGCCCTGAGCTAACGTCTGTTGCCAATCCTCCTCTTTTTGCTGAGGAAGATTGGCCCTGGGCTAACATCCGTGCCCATCTTCCTCTACTTTACACGTGGGACGCCCACCTCAGGATGGCTTGATGAGCGGTGCATAGGTCCGCACCCAGGATCTGAACCTGCGAACCTCGGGCCGCCGAAGCCGAACACGCAAACTTAACCACTATGCCACCAGGCCAGTCCATTGGCACCATGTTCGTAATCTCAACAGTTCATGATTTCAATGGTTCCAATGGATGAGAAAGAAATAACAACTGTCTTGGCCTATAAATACACTTATGGTGAACTAACAGTCATTCCAGGAAGCCCAGTCTACAGATCTCCAATTCTTCCAACAAATAAGTTTGGGTAAGAACAGTGGGAATATGTGGTGTTCTGGCCTGAAGCACCTCCCACCCACACATACCTCCTACACACATACACACACACACACACACACACACCCATACTTTGACAAAACTGACAAATATTTAAGTAGACTGACCAAGAAGACAAACACAAATGACCAGTCAGGAATGAAAGAAGGACGTTACTACAGACACTGAAGAAATTACAAAGATTGTAAGAGAATGTTATGAGCAACTTTTTGCCAACAAATAAGCAAATTAAGTTGACAAATTCCTAGAAAACAATTAACTACCAAAACAGACTTCAAGCAGACATAGAAAATCCTAATAGACATATAAGAAGAAATTGAATTAGGAATCTAAAATCTTCCCACAAAGAAAAGTCCAAGTCCAGATGGTTTCACTGATAAATTCTATCAAATAATTAAAGAAGAAATAACAATCCTTTAGAAACTCATTCAGTAAACAAAGGAAGAAACACTTCCCAATTCATTCTACGCCAATAGTTTTTCTATCAAAGCCAAAAAACAACACCATTAAGGGGCCAGAGCAGTGCCGTAGCAGTTAAGTTTGTGCGCTCCACTTCGGCAGCCCAGGGTTCGCAGGTTCGGATCCTGGACGCGGACCTATGCACTGCTCATCAAGCCACGCTGTGGCGGCATCCCACATAAAAAATAGAGGAAGATGGGCAGAGATGTTAGCTCAGTGACAATCTTCCTCACCAAAAAGAGGAAGATTGGCAACAGATGTTAGCTCAGGGCAAATATTCCTCACACACACACAAAAACACAATTAAGAAAAGAAAGATACAGACAAATATCCACAAAAACCCTTAAAATATTAGCAAACTGAATCTAGCAACATATAAAAAGGATTTTATACAATGGTCAAGAGGTATTTTTCCCAGGAATGGAAAGTTAGTTTAACATTAAAAACAAAACAAAACAACCAATGACATATCCCATTTTATTACAATAAAGGACATAAACCACAAGATCATCTCAATAGAGGCAGAAAAAGGATGTGGCAAAATCCAACACTCACTCATAATACATACTTTTAGCAAACTAGGAACAGAATAAAACTTAACCTGATAAAGGATATCTACAAAAAACTCACAGGTAACATGCCACTTAACTGTGCAGGACTGAATGCTTTCCGTCTAAAATAAGGAAGTCCCTTCTGCCACTTCCATTCAACATTGTACATGACCTTTTAGCTCACGCAATAAAGCAAAAACGCATTAATGTCATAAAGGAAGAAACAAAATTGTTTTAATTCACAGATGATATGATCCCCAAAAAAGTAGAAAATCTCAAGAAATCCACAATAAAACTATGAGAAAAAAATATACGAGTAGCAAGATTGAAGGATGAAAGGATCAATATACAAAAATTGATTGTATTTCTGTATACTAGGAAGAAACCATGCAAAAATAAAATTAAGAAAATTCCATTCACAATAGAACTAAAAGTAATAAAATACTTAGGAATAAATTTAACTAGAGAAGTTTAAGACTCATATACTGAAAATTATAAAACTGATGTTAAAAATGGTTAAAAAAGAGACAGAGAAAATTACAGACCAATTTATGAATACAGATGTAAAAATACCAGCAATGAAATGTAGCAATTTATCAAAAGAATTCTACATTATACTCAAGCAAGGTTTATTCTAGACACACAAATATAATTCAATATCAGAAGTTGTATAAGCATAATTCATTATGTCAACAAATTACACCATATATCAATTGATGCTGAAAAGGCACTTGATAAAACACGGAAGTTGCTCCTAAGAAATAGCAAAATAAATGATGTGAATTTAATAAAGACTATTTTCCAAAAGTAGATATCCTAAACAGCAAAACTCTAAAGCTCATTCAACTAAATGAAATAGATGGGGGAAGTAACTGCCTTGTAAGAAGAGAATGAAATAAATCACTGGAAAAGAAAAAATACAACCATCACTTTCGGCTATTATCAAGTATAAATAAATAACCCAAAGGACTCTACTAAAAAGCTACTAGATTTAATAAGAAAAATGTATAACATGCCTAGATATAATACAAATATCCAAATATCAACAGTTTTTATCTGCTCTTAGCAAATAGTACCTAAAATAAGGAAGGAAAAAACTTTAAGATAGTAACAAAAATTATATATAGAAAAAAATTAACCAGAAAGGCCTAGAACCCAAATGAAGTAAACTATAAAATCTCACTAAAAGATAGAAAATAATCCAAACAAAAAGAACGATAAACCATGTAACTGTGTGGGAAGACATACTACCTTAATAATGTCATTGGCTCCAAAATTAACAAATACATATAATGGAATTCAGATGAGAATCCTGAAAGAATTTTTCTAGAATTGGAAAACTATAAATATTAAAGGTTACATGGAAAAGTAAGTGCAAAAATTAACTAAAAAATATATGAAAATTTAAAACAGTGGGGGCAAAACTATCTGCCAGAGAGCTGACGCATTTTTTAAGTAGGTTTCCCTTTTCCGGGAAGGAGGAATTTTGACGATGCTTATATCTGACATTTGTACATATTAAATATTGATAATAAGTCCTATTCATAAATGATGGCCAATGGTTAGTGAGTGTGTTTATAAAATAGAACATTAAAACTAAATAAACTATTATAATTAAATACATGATAAAATATTAATAATGAAAATAACTAAACAATATTGAATACAATATTATAAGAGTTTTACACATAGCATCTTTCTTTCATAATCCTCATAAGAGTCCCAAAGGTCTATCTCTATTTTAAAGATAAGAAACTTGAGAAGTTATTCAACTTGCACGAGGTCACATTTCTAGTCAGTGACAAAATAGGGATTTAAATAAGGGAGTAGGCAGTTCAAATGGAAAAGAATAGCACTTAATCATGAAAAAAAAATTCTATATGCTAATAAAAAGAGAATTCTACCCACATATACATGTTACTCTATACTCTCCTCAAATTTAACTATGAAATTATGTCAGTATCTAAGTGAAATAAATAATAAGTTGAAATAAGGAAAAGCTGTAATGACAAATTAAGATTTAAATTGTGCTTTTCCAGGCCTGCCCGGTGGCGCAAGTGGTTAAGTGCGTGTGCTCTGCTGCGGCAGTCCAACGTTCGCCGGTTCGGATCCCGGGCACGCACCAATGCACTGCTTGGCAAGCCATGCTGTGGCGGCGTCCCATATAAAGTGGAGGAAGATGGGCATGGATGTTAGCCCAGGGCCAGTATTCCTCAGCAAAAAGAGGAGGATTGGCAGATGTTAGCTCAGGGCCGAGCTTCCTCACAAAATAAATAAATAAATTGTGCTTTTCCTATTTAAAAGGTGATATTGTCCTCATGATACAGTGCTAGCTTATCTTTTTTTAAAAAAATCTGAGATTATCAATAAAAAAAGAATCAAAGAGATTTTATAATGCAGAAGTTAAATTACAGGTGTTTACTGTTTTAGTAAATATTCAAGGGGGGAAACAGATACAGAAGACAAAGGAACTAAGAGTAAGGCAATCCTATGATTTATCTTCCAACCCACAGCACTTCTGAGAAAGGAAGAAGGCACTAATAGTAATTATAACACCACAACAAGTATAAACTAGGACCACCTAGGCAAACCCAGACATTTGGTCACTCTAGAAATACACTCCATGATACAAGACTTTATCTGTCTTATTCACTGCCCCTAGATGGATGCTTTGTGAATAGCAGGCACTCAATAAATAATTGCTGAAGAAATTATTAGGTTTCCTTTAAAAAAAAAAAAAGGATTCCTGTGTCTATACTACACTTGTAGTGTCTATACTACACTTGTAGTGTCTATACTACACTTGTAGTGTCTATACACTACAGCTTAATTGTTTAAATGTCATTATGACCTAAGTTTGTGAGTAAGTAAACATTAGTTTGTGCATGCAAATACTTAGAGGAACAACAACAAAAAAACACAACAAACTCATCTCTATGTATTAAACATGGGTTAAGAATACTGAAATTAAGGCACAGCAATAAATGAATAATGATGGTGTACTGCGTAATTCTAATTTAGAGTCTAACAATGAAAACAAAATTTAAACCTACAAAGCAAGTTACTCATTTTAAAACGCTCTTCTATCCTCACCATGATACTTAACCAACATCAAAAGACAAATCCGCTTTCATTTCTTACCTGCACAGCCGAAAGCCAAATGGTATCTGGAAGAGGGGCTGAATTTAACACAGCACACATTAGCCTTCGCCTCAATGCTTGCCACTGAGTTGTCTAAGTTGGTAGACCACAGCTTCACTAAGAGTAAAGGACAATAAAAACGAAAAGAAATAAACAAACATTAGCAAATGTTTCTGTAAACTAGAAAGTTTGCTTATTGCTACAGCTGCTACAGCATTTTGTTTTACTAGGATCAAAAATGTTTAAACTGAACAAGTGAAGAATAGAACAGTGTATTGAAACCAAGAGAGTTTAGTTTCAAAGTTAGAAAACAACACAGACAATCAATGTATACTGAGAGGTAACATGATCCTATAACTAAGGCATAAAAAACGGGTAAAAAAAGCAACCTGGAGATACATGTGTATTTGTTTTAGTGCTCCTTAAATTGTGTGTGTGTGTGTGTAGGAGTAGGGTGACTATATGATTTATCTTCTAACGCATGACACTTTTGAGAAACACACACACACTTTCATTTGTATGATATAGATCAGAATATAAATATTTAAAATACCTAGGAGCAGTTCTTATTTTATCTTTCAATTAAGAATGCTATGATATTAAAACTTTATGTAGGAACTTAGTTATATGATTTAAGTATGGCTAAAGTAATAGATTACAGAATTGTTTAGCTAAACTTTAAAAATTTGTTTTAATATTTGCTATTTAGTCTGTTCTAGTGGTATATACTGAGATCTGTAATGATTAGGGAGTGGAAAGCTGAGTGATCAGAGCAGGTCAGATCTGAAAACAGAAGTAGAAGGGTGAGCTGTTCTCTTGACAGGTACCAGAGCAACCATATCATATTTAAACAAAAATGTTTCAGTGGACACTAGAATATACACACAAAATGGACTTGCAGGATATAGGCTACAATTCTGGTTGCACGTTAGAATTAATAATGAACATTAACAATAATAACAACAAAAATCTTCCTATCCATCTTTCCATCAGTCCCAATGTGCCATGCAGGATAATACTCAGATGGTGTCCAGGTACTGGTGTTTTCTAAAAGCTCTCTGGGTGATTCTAACGTGCATTTGGGGTTGAAACCCAATATCAGGGATGGAGGTATAGATTCAAAAATTTTAGAATCTTTTTAGGAATATTAAAACAGCGATCTGTAAACAAGGAATGAAAATGGTTCAAACAACTACCACTTCCACGAAACGCTATTTCATAAGAATACAGACTTTCTCTGTGTGAAGGGGATAATTTACCTTCTATGAATGGGATTTCATAAGAATAGAGAATTTCTTTAAATATGTGGAATCTCTGAATAAAAGTTAATCATTAAACAAAGTTGTTATTTACAATCTGATGAATCTATTACCCTTCCCAGAGAAAAATAAGACACTCATTATTAAAATAAAAGAATAAGAGTTTTAAATAGCAATATTTGATTTGTTTCATGTTCTTTTCCAATAAAAGTCATGTGGTGTTTAAATCAATACAATTGTTCAGGCAATTAACATATACAATTCTGAGATGAGATGACTAGTTGTAATTAAAGTGGTGTTTAAATCAATATACAATTGTTCAGGCAATTAACATATACAATTCTGAGATGAGATGACTAGCTGTAATTAAAGTCTGCATGTCAAACGGAGCCTTTATAGATTTGAATATCAAGTGGTAGAACTGTACTTTAACAGCCTAGCAAGCCAAAGTTAATCTACGATAAATATTTATGGAGCACCTACTATTCCCATAACCCTACTACTAGTCCTAAGAACCTTTACAAACAAGGGTTATATATCAGTGTTTTATGACAATTCAGTATCAGTAAGCATAAAAATGAACCAAACTAACATAATGACAGTTAAATTAGAAGTGAGTCAGGTCTTTTTCTATTTCACAGTAATTTTCTCAATGAAGTAATTGTTAACATTTTTTTTAAAACCACGACAGTAACCACGATTATAATTTTCAATACATAAGATATTAGAATTCAATATAACTGTATGAGCTGTAAGAATAAGGTTTAAAATACTATGAAGATACAGTGAATATATACAGCATAGAAAAAGAAAATGCATAAAGAATATAATATACTTTATTAAGGTACTGTTTATTAAACAGTCTTCTCCAAAAAGATATGTTGAAATCCTAACACCAGGTAAGTGAATGTCACCTTATTTGGAAATAGGGTCTTTGCAGATGTAATCAAGTTAAGATGAGGTCATACTGGACTAGGATAGGCCTTAAATCCAATGACTGATATAGGCAGAGGGAGACTTGAATATAGAGGCACAGAGTGAAGAAGGCCATGTGTCAAGAGAGGCAGAAATTGGATGTGGTTAGAAGTCAAGGCATAGCAAGAATTGCTAGTAACCACCAGAAGCTAGGAAGGATTCTTCTCCAGGGCCTTGAGAGGGAGCATGGCCCTGCCAACACCTTGACCCTGGGCTTCTAGCCTCCAGTACTGTGAGAGAATAAATTTCTGTTGTGAAAGCCAACCAGTTTGGGGTACACTGTTAGGGCAGCCCTAGGAAACTAATACAACAGATGTGATAACATTAAAATCAATAAAAATCAACTCAATATCTTAAGATGGCATCATCGATCTAAAAGTGAAATAGTATAGGGGCTAGCCCAGTGGCATAGTGGTTGGGTTTGTGCACTCTGCTTCGGCGGCCCAGGGCTCGCAGGTTCAGATCTCGGGCACAGACCTACGCACCGCTCATCAAGCCATGCTGTGGAGGTGTCCCATATACAAGGTGGAGGAAAACTGGCACAGATGTTAGCTCAGGGACAATCTTCCTCACCAAAAAAAAAGGTAAAATAGTATAATCTTTTGGAGAAAGTGTAGAAGAAATCAATAAAAGTGTTGGAAGAAAAATAAAGGGGACAGTCCTCAAAATAAGGAGATGGTACATAAATCAATAAGAACACGCCTACTGTTTACTTTCTCCTTAAAAGGGTAAGAAATTCATTTAACTTCAAAAATTATAATTTCAACATTTATTGTGAAAACTCTCTTTTATAAGAAAAAGTAAAAGTGAATTTAAAAGAAAATACAATCCTCAAGGTGAAGAGCTAAAACAATTAAATCAAACAAAATACATTGCACTTATTTATATATAGTCTCTTTTGACACTCAGTAAAAAAATCAAAATAGTGACTGCTAAGAAAATCAGGTCGCAATGTATGAGGCTAAAAATAAAAACAAACTTGTTCTGAATAGTATCTAGCTGGCTTTAGGAAATGAATGTTACCTAAAACTAAGTGTTTTATTACAAGTTTGATTTCTTTAATGTTAACAGCTAAAGAAAAGAGTTTTTTGAACTATCACCTGAATCTTAAGAGCCATTAAAAAATACTAGATTTTTAACAATCCAACTACCCTAGAGGATGGGTGAAGTTTATCATCTACTAATCTATAGAATTTGGCTTAAACAGTCCCTAAGTCCTTTTGTTCAAAAGCATTTTTCCCAAAAACAGAACACATTGCATATCTATAATAACAACAGCATCAAATCCAATGTGCAGGATTTATATGTTTCTGAGCTTTTCAGACAGGGCCCACATGTCTATTTGCACCAAAGCTTCCTAAGAAAGAATTCACTGTAAAAGAAAAAGGAAACAGGCACAGGAGTTTGACACAGTAAGAAAAAACCAGTCTTTAGTGAGGACGTGCAAGTATGAGTAGGATTAATATCTCATACTGCTGCACCCACTTCGGAACTACTGTCTAGATCTTACTGAAAACAGAATGAGTAAAAAGGGATAGCACTGTTTCACCAAAAACCACCATAAACCTGAGGGACATCTGCACTATTTTATAAATCTATAAGAAGTATAAAAGATTAAACACAAAGATGCGCACTTTGACAATACTGATTACCAAACATAAGTTTCCTTTTCAACTTGATTAAATAGAGAAAACAGGCCTTGTTGTATTAGTTAGTTATTGTTGCACAGCAAATTGTCCCAAAGCTTAGCAACTTAAAACAACAAAATTTACTATGTCACATCGTCTCTGAGGGTCAGAAATCTCCAAGCAGATTAGCTGGGTGCTTCTGGCTCAGAGTCTGAAAGCTCAGAGGTCTCACTCAGTTAAGCTGAGCTGGATGATCCACGTCAAAGCCCACTCCACACCATTCTTGGCATGAGGATTCAGTTCTCCACCATCTGGGCTTGTGACAATACAGCTAGTATCTCCCAAACCAAGTGATTGGAAAGAGAATGATGAAGATTGAGGCTGTGGTGTTTTGTATAACCTAATTTCAGCAGTGACATACCTTCATTTCTGTAGTATTCTACCAGTCATGCAGACTAGAGCAATGGGAAGGAAGAGGAACTACACAAGAGTGGGAATACCAGGAGACAAAGATCATGGGGGGCCATCTGGGATGCTGGCCAACATAAGCCTTTTAATTTCACTTAGATCCAGGAGATATTACACTTAGTAAAGTTATAACTTATAAAAAAGTAACTGCCTAAAATTATAAATTATAGGAAAAATAACTGCTATCATAACGCTATTTCTTTACCATGTTGCAGTTCATTTTTAAGTCCTCTGAAGAAAAAGAAGTGGAAGCATTTCATTCAGTATGAGTTAACTAAAATTAATTTTAAAATTTACCAAGATTTCAAATTCTTCACTCTTACATTAACTTATGCAACTATGAAAAGTTGGAATGAATAAGAAAGAACCTGTAATTTCTGCTGTCTTAAAGCCTACTCATATTTGGAGGAAAAAACCTTTAAAGAATATGCTTATTCTAATTCAAAAGCAAGATTATTTATTGCAAACAATTCTTAGGTTATGTATTTAAAAAGGAAAATGTTTTTCTCCAAAAGAACTTATAAAATACCTCATGAAATTTAGCTTGCTACATATCAATGGTTTTTTAACATGCAAATATGTGCATATATATTTGGAAGTAAACTATTTTTAAAATACACAGCATGATTAGGAAAAATATCATTTATAAGAACTCAAGTTTTTAACTTTGCAATGAAGAAATAACTTCCATTAATAAATGACTCCATTAAAAATTTATTAAATACAAAATACATAAAATGTTTAATATATTTGTGTAAAATACATTATAAGCAATTTAAAATATTCT